TACTCCATTATCTGCCTTTTGTTTGAGACCCCCACTTTTCCTCTCCATATGCCTCTAACTTCACATAGACTACTGATTGTGATTTCAAAGGAATTTCTTTCTGTGTCATCAGCACTAAAGAACTCCTGGGAGTTGTTTGTCCTGGCAATAGCTTGCATCACTTTAGTTATTAACTGTGTGGGTTTCCATTCCTATAGTGCTCATGCTCTATGGTAGGACAGGGATGCTTACATAACTGCTGTGGAGTTAGAAATAGTCATATCACAACTTGGGAATGCAATGAATACTGCACCATGAATTTTTATTCATTTGTATTTGAAGATGGATGAATAAGTGAATAAAGACTTTTTAAAAAATCAAAAAAGTGGGCAGACATTATATTACTATCCTTAAACTCCATCAAGAGAAAATGCCTCTTACAAATCTATTCATAACTCCAAACTACCTTTGACTTTAATTGTGCAATAGTTTTATCTCTTTTAACCGTCTAAGGTCTTTCCCTTTATAACATGAAGCTAAGGCTATGTTTACACTGTGTTTTTCAAAATATACAAATAGCATGTATAAGCTTTGTGTATAATGTTACTGTATCGTCATTCCTTCATTCCCTCTGCATACCCTTTGAGTGGCCAGATAGTACCTTGGGGAATTGGAGTCTCCTGGGCTGGCTCTGGCAGGAAGTGACTGTATATTTCATTTTTTTTTAAACTACAAACAGCATCACATTTTATAAGTGCCTAATGCAATGTATGGAACTAAATATCCATGCTAACTCTTAGCCACTCCTCTCATAAAGGGATCTGGACGACTCTAGTCGAACAGACAGTACAAAGAGGTCAGTACAAAAAGTGAACACATCACTCACAGTACACTTGCAGTAAACCCAGCATTCCTTATGCAGGATACTTGTATTTTGTCCTAACTCTAGTACAGTAACAGCAAGGAAAGGTGCAATTATTGAGAACCCTGGACACTGAATGCAAACCTGCTCAGTTGTTTTGTGGAATGAATTATGACCCTGAGACATCATTTCCCTGTTTTCCAGTACATTTTAGTTGTACCTGATGCCTTTATTTTAAACTTTCGAGTACACTTTTAAAATAATATATTATTTATAAATACAGCAGGACAAAATTTTAGATGAATAGAAGCTTACAATCATTTATAAACTTGTGTTGTTTTCCTCATCTTAATTAGCTGCTTGCAAGTTTCCTACAATGCATTTTGATTTCATTCACACCCCCTCCTACATCCTCCCTGATCTACTCCACTTCTCTACCCAACTTTATTTCATCTTTATTCTTTCAAAGAAAATTAAACCCATCAAGTTCTATTTGTGCTGTCCATATATGTTTGGGTATGTGGCCTTCCTGTGATGCTTGATGGACCTATGTCGGGGGATACTCTTAAAGAAAATTACTCTCCCCCACTCCAGAGATAACAGTTGCCAGTAACCTCAGCTAAGAGTAGGACTTCATGCTCACCTCTCCTCTCCATTCTGGGATTCAGTTCAGGTCGATCTTAAATAAGTCTTAAGCATGTTGTCAAAAGTGATGTAAGTTCATATGTTTATCTGCCCTACTATGTCCAGAAAACAGTTTGCTTGAACTCATCCATCATCTCTTGTTTTAATGATTCTTCTTCTCACTCACTTTCAATGTCTCTAACCTTAGAGAGCATTCATTAATTCACTTCTAATTCCTCATAGGCATGTGCTATTTTCTGAACATTTACTTATGATCTATTGAATTTTTGTACATATTATATCTTGCCACACTTAAAATTTTCATATAGATAATTTTAAAAGCCATCCTTTGCTCTAGATTACAACTTGATGGCATACATTCTTCTACTATGTGATGCTATATAGCAGCTTCTACTTCTATGCTTAGACATTTGTTTCTGGTTAATGATACTCTGAGAGACACAGGATTTGAGTGCATAATCCATTCAGTTATTACCATGCTTTCAGACATGCAAATGGAGATATCACATCAAATGTAGAAATACTATGGCAATTCTCCTCAGATATTGGCTGATAAAAGAGGAATGCAAAAGGACAAATACTATGTGAAGGTAAGGAGAAATTCAGAGTATCAACTTCACTACTTTGAGTAGCCCCATTATTAATTTCAGGGTTCGGATAAACCATGATCCCTTGTGTGGGATTGTAGAAGATACAGCATTGCATTGAAGGACTGCTGCATGTATCTATCCCAGTGAATAGTTGGTTATTTCAGAGGAAGTAGGATAAAGAAGATGCCCATCATTGAGTTCTATTAGCACTCAGAGGTGAAGTGTATTTATGCTTTGATCTCCAACGCTATGCTTTCCATAAGAAGCTTTTCCAGTCTCAGAGATTTAGTATTTTACACCCACTTAATGATCTGTTTCTTTTTCTGTATTTTTTAAAATTAATTATTTGGGAGTTTCACAAAATACACCCTAATCACACTCAATCTCCAGTTCTCCAGAGTCATACCTCCACCCTTAAGACATCCTCCAAGAACAAAGAAGAAAAAAGAAAAACATTCTAGCACTATTTTGTGTTGCTCATATACTCAATGGAGCATGGTCAAGCTCCCGCTGACCAGCCTTTTAAGAAAACTGAGTCCTTCTCTATCCCTACCCTCACCAGAAGCCATCAACTATGGAGAACATTCCCATCACAATTTTAAGAGTTCTCTTCAATGGCTTCCTGTCTAGACTGTTCTTATTTGGGAGGCAGGGAATACCCTCATTAAAACTCTTGTGGTTCCACAAAACTAATCCCTTTATGAGCTATCTGTTTCTTAATATAATACATTATTCCCTTCTCTTAAGGTGAATTTAACAACTACTTTGCACATGTCTCTTACTCTGAAAATTTTTAAAAAGTATCTTTATCTCAATGAATAAGTCAAATGTTTCATACTGAATGGGTAAGTACAATTATCTTGTTATTTATCTGGACTCTGAATCTAACCAAGTGCATACTTGGAGATAGTACTCAGCTGAGATCAAAGCTCAGAAACTGATATAAGCAGTTTTGAAGAAAATAAGAGTAGAAATATTTTATGAAAAACTAAGTTTGTCTCATTAAGGTGTCCAGGGTAAAATGGTGGACTAGATGAATACTGGTAGCAATCCTGCTGATGGGGATTTAGAATAGTATTTTAGGAGAGCTAGAGAAATCACTCAGCAGCAAAGAGTGCTTACTGCTCTTACAGAGGACCTGAGTTTAAATCACTGCAACCATCTCTGGCATCTCACAACTGCCTGTAACTCCAACTCCAGAGGATCTGATGCCCTCTTCTGGCCTTTGTAGACACCTGCATGCCTGTGCACATAAACATAAGTACACACATTCACAATTCACATAAACCAATAATTTTAAAAGCAAAATAAGACATGTAATAATATTTCAAATAGTTGGTAAGCAGTGGTTGGAACAATGAACAAATGGCCACTGTAGTGTCAGGTGATGGTGGAAGGATGAAGGTGGAGGTGTTTCAGCATAAAAGGAATGGTTCCTTTGTGGATTTGGTTGTTAGGCTGTAAGGCAAACAGTGGAAAATAAGACACATTTCCTGATCAATAGGGTTTTAAATTAATTCCCTGGTTCTCCAAGTTGTTATTCTCCAAGCAAAAATGAGGATATGAGAGTTGGATTGTTTCTTTAATGATATGTTATATGGTCATTGCAAAACAGGCAATATCCTTGGGAATTGGTTTCAGAACTCCAGTGTGAAGGCTGCAGGGCTAAGTTGTTTGAGAAATTTGCCTCATATGACTCACTTCTGGAGCCTAACTTGTTGGTCCATGGGGATCCATACAGAAATGTAGTCATAGCAGCCCCAGGGAACATTCATTAAGGAGTTTGTGGGAGATCTGCACTTGCAGGAGAATGGACTATAAGTAAAGAAGTGTCTTGCGATGAGATTAGTTCTAGTGTAACCAAGGAAGTGAGGTAATGGTTGGCGGTGGCACCGAAGAGGTAAGAGTGGCTGAAGAAGAGAAGTAGGGAGCAAGCTTTGACCTTTCCTTTATAATTTCCTTTGGAGTATGGGAGTGACTCTAGGGATGTTAATATAGACTCTCTGTCTCCATGCTAACCCAACACACCTCAATCAGCGACTGGATAAGCACAGACTAATGACTTAAAAGAAACTTCATGAACATCCGATTTCACTTGAAGAAGTTGAAACAAAGAGGATGCAGTGGTCTGGACCAAAGTTTGCTTTACATTGATGATAAAACAAATTTAGAAATGCAATTCCGGAAAGAAGGTGCTATGTGTGCTACATCAGCATCTCTTGCCACACCTCCCAGGGCCTGGCTTTATACTGTTTCCCTTCTCCCTATCCCCTGCAGAACCCTGAAGTTTGTCTCCTGTTAGGATCCTTCCAGAAAAAATAAATAAAATCCTGCCAGCTCATTGTTTATTCATCTTGTCCCAAAGATCTCAGCTTTGAAAAATGCTCCCAAGACAGCTTTGGTTTTTATCCACTTTTCCTCTTTCAACCTTTGATGAGAATTTTGATGAGTTCCAGGAGACTCCCTCAGTGAGACTAGCTGTTTAAAACAGTACGTCTCCTTTTCCTACTGCACCCTGGTTATTGGAGAGCCAAATATAGGAAGGGCCATTATTTCAAAGTATCATGGGAACATTTCACCTGGAATGATAAGAGAATGAGAAAGGTAATTCTGCTATCTCTTGTTTTGTTTTTTATTATTTTTTTTCATTTGTTTGTTTAGCAAAAAGGAGGAAGCTCTGCTGCCATAGTCCACAAACGTTGGTTTGTAAATTAAGGAACCAGAATTCTATGCCATTCCTGTCCATGACAGATATTATGTAAATAACTTTAGACTTCTAGTTTTGATTCCCCTTTTATAGAATAGAGGGAATGGATTGGATAGATTATAAATTATTTCTTAGCTTGTGTCTTCTAGTCTTTGAGCTCAAGAGGAAAAGCCTAATGCTGCTCATTTGGTGCCTTTACCTCTCATTCCCAGGAATCATGGATCACACTAACCACACCTGGACCCAGACTTTCATCCTTGCTGGTTTCACTCCCACTGGTGTCCTCCGACATCTTGCAATCTTTGGAACCCTGTGCATCTATCTCCTCACACTTGCGGGGAACTTATTTATCATTGTCCTTGTTCAAGCAGATTCAGGGCTGTCCACTCCCATGTACTTCTTTATCAGCGTCCTCTCCTTCCTGGAACTCTGGTATGTCAGCACCACAGTGCCTACCTTGCTACATACCCTGCTACATGGACCTTCATCCATCCCGTCAGCTGCATGCTTTGTCCAGTTATATGTCTTCCATTCCTTGGGCATGACTGAGTGCTACCTGTTAGGTGTCATGGCTCTGGACCGCTACCTGGCCATCTGTCGCCCACTCCATTATCATGTACTCATGAGCAGACAGTTACAACTGCAGCTAGGTGGGGGTACATGGGTGGCTGGCTTTTCGGCTGCCCTAGTACCTGCCGGTCTCACAGCCACTTTGCCCTACTGCTTGAAAGAGGTGACCCATTACTTTTGTGACCTTGCACCGGTGATGCAGTTGTCATGCGTGAACACAAGCTGGCATGCTCAGGTTTATATTGCAGTGATTGGTATGATCAATACATGCAATCTTGTCTTCATCTTGGGACTCTATGGAGGTATTGTAAAAGCTGTGCTGAAGTTGCCTTCAGCTGCTAGCCGTGCCAAAGCCTTTTCCACCTGTTCCTCCCATATAACTGTAGTGACACTGTTCTTTGGCTCTGCCTTCATTGTCTATGTAGGACCGCCAGAGATTCGAGCTGAGGGAAGAGGCAAGCTTATTGCCTTGGTGTACACTTTTCTCACTCCTTTCTTCAACCCCATCATTTATACCCTTCGCAATAAGGAAGTGAAAGGGGCTGTGAAGAGGGTCACACAGAAGATCAAAGCTTTGCTGATTTGATTCCAGAGTCCTACAGGTTTAGCGTTTCATCCATTTGAAAATGTCAAGATTGAGCTGGTTACTTGTGTTAATGATTAACTAGTCATTTCAATAATGTGTGAAATAGTTAATTAAAGTAGTCTTGGATAAGAACAAATTGAAAAAAAATATGTTAGAGATGAAATATAGCCCCTGAAGCTAATAATATGGGAGTGGATGAGAACACATATTTGAAGAAATAAACAGCAAAATAAATAAATAATGTTCAGGTGTTTGTTTGTTTGTTTTATGCAAACAGAAAGAAATTTAAATGTGTTAATTTCTAGAACCTAGGCTGGTTAGGAGGTTGCAGTTCAGACTGGAGTTTTGGAGAAAGATGCAGACAGGAAGATTTGAAGGGAACGTTAGATAAATGTTGAGATGGAGACCAGTAAACTATTAAAACAGAAAACAAAGGTACATGGGGCTCAATGCTCTTGAGCAACATTGTGATAAAACATGTTTTAAAAGATGGAGTAGAGGCTTCCCCTAATGTGAAAGAGAATGAGATGGGAAACAAAGGTGACTAGGTGAGCAGAGGTCTAAGCAAGTTGTAAAGCCACTGTCTACACCCTGTATTTGAAACAGTCAACCGGAAAACATTGTCCATGCATCCCCTTTGTGAAAAACTAACTCTGTGAACCATGGAAAGTGTAAAGAGAGAAGTCAGTGCACTCTTGGCTCCCTGTTTCCAAGGCACTTACAGGTCTATTTTATTTTATTGTTTGATAATTTCATACATACATATATGTAATGCATTTTAAAGACACCCATTTCACGTTCTCTCCTATCCAGTTCCTCCCCATCTCCCATCACCACTTTTCCTTCTTAACTTTGTGTTTTAATATATATTTAATGTTTGTATTTCAATTTTTTCATAAATATACTTTGGCTTTGTTCTCCTTTTCCTCAACTCCTCCCCTATCCTCCCCACTTTCCTACTGACTCAGCTTCATGTTCTCTCTCTCTCTTCTTCCTCTTTCTTCTTCTCTACAGAACATCTGTGATCCTGAGAATCACAGAGAAATGCAGGCTTCTTCATGCTATAGACGTGTAGGGGTCCATCTTTCCCAGAAAGTGACCCTCCAATCAGCGATGAATGTGCCTACCATAGATTTTCCAATTTGACTGGCTTATTAACAGCTCATGATACTTGTGGATCATGATATTTTATATTGGTCATAAAATTTCCAACAGTAGTGTCCTGAATTCTTCTGTCCATTAGAAAATAAAAATACCTGAGTGCTATATTTAAAAAAGCCTGAGAAGCAGGGGTAACACTGATCTTATACAATATATCTAATAGGTTCATTTCAACCTGACTAGCATTCAAAACTGTCTAGTGAGAGGATCTCAGAAAATATCCTATTATATGTTTTTTCAAAAAGAGAATTAAATATTTCTGAAAAAGTAATGATGCATTTTACTGTTTTGGTTAATTTTTCTTCCCTTCTAGAGAGATGGCATGCTTTCATTTTTTATTCTGTCTTCAGAAGGAGGCTTAAGCTGGGTGTTGGTGATGCAGAGGCCAGCGGATCTCTGTGAGTTTGAGGCTAGCCTAGTCTACAGAGCTAGTTCTAGGGCAGACTCCAAAGCAATACAGAGAAACCCTGTCTCGAAAAACCCAAAAAACAAAACAAAACAAACCATAAACAAACAAACAAACAAGGAAAAAACAGACAGTCAGAAAGAGGCTTAAATGGCATTTGTTCCTTGATTTCTGTCCTTTTCAGGTTTTAGGAAGTTGTCTCTTCCAAATCCACTCATAGAAAGTGCACTGTGTCAGGGTGTGGCAACAGAAGTCATTAAAATTAAGATTTTTAAAGTATACCAAAGCCCACGTAATAGAAAACTTGTGTTTTTATTTATTTATTTTCTGTGCATCTGGAATGCTGTGGTTGCTTCCTGGGAAAGAGAGAGATGTTTTCTGAGGGATGATTCCAAGTGAAGACATTCTCCAAACACTAGAATGATGAAAATGTTACTTAAAATAAAAGTGTGTGTGTGTGTGTGTGTGTGTGTGTGTGTGTGTGTCCCCTTGTGTATGTGCACAAATTCTGCATGCATGTATGGCTTGCCAAATTCTTGGTTCTCATACACTTTTTGGACCAAATAAGATCCTCAGCCTGTTTCTATAGACACGTTTCTACCACAGCAGAGCCACAGACATCCTTTCCCATACTAGACATGGCTACATTTGTATTACAAAGTTAAATTTGAGTACTTGTTACAGACCCTGGAGAACTGACAGGTCAAAGTTTTATTATCTGAATCTTAAAGAAAAATAACTGTCTGTCCTTAGAAAAAGTATATGCTAATGTATAAGTACAGACTGAGAAAAAAAATTATGAAGTTATAATCTGAGAGCAAATTGTATCATAGGACAAAAATAATAAATTTGTGTGTGCTGATACATTGGCATCTAGTGTGACATCTGCCCAGTGGTGATTCTGAATCCTGACATGAAATCCTTCAATATTTTATACAAGTTCTGCTTAATTATTTCCAGGCTTTCTAACCTTTTATTGTCTCCTGCCCTTTTGATCCCAGTCCTAGCATCATGTACTGTATAAAATGGAAAAAACAGAAAGCTAAAAATTGAATTAAACTTTAGTAAGGATTGATACTTTTCCCTAATGAATGTTTAATTTATGACTTTGAAAGAAGGAACTAGGGCTCTGTTACAATGGTCAATACAATCATCAAGCATGTCTACAGTTTTTGTAGCAAAATAGAAGAAAAGCCAAATAATGTACTTATTAATTTTATACTTAATATAAAGTGAGTGAAATGCACGAGAGGACAGAATCCAAACCTCAAAATAAGTTAAAGACATTGGAAAACTGACCAAAACTCATAAGATGAACTTTAATGGAGTTAGGATATAGTTTCATGTTTTGTTATTAAATGAAAACACTATGTGTACTAAAACCACTAATAACTGAACCCTCCAAACAAATGTGTGTAGGACAGAAAGGCCCTTCAAAATATTTATTAACTATATTGGCTGCCTGTATGCCACATAAAGTACTAGGCAATGTGGATACAGAATCCAATAGACACATAAGAAGTAGATATACCTTCACATTAAAGTTTGAAATGTAGTTATTGAATAAATTATTAAAGATGGGGGTATTAAGAAATGCACACTGCTGTAGAACTTACTAATGGAGAATCTGGTTCAATCTGGATGTACATTTGACTAACAATTTTTGAATATCTGTCTTGTGTCAGGCAGAGAAGGCAGTAGATATTGCAGAATCTAAGGGTTAAAAAAAGTCCGATTTGGCTCCTTGTCTCTCTGCACACACATGTGTACACAATCATTATATTTGATGTTTTCAGATGGATGTAGCAGGGTGTAAATATCAACTCAGAGCAGCTGTGACAGCATGCACAAGTCCTTCACAAGCTCAAGTCCACAAAATTCTACTACAGAGCAAGGAGGGACCATGAATTCCCACCCTAGATAAGGAACTATTGGCAGTTGATATCTCCTGGAAGTAGAAAAGTCAGTTTTCTTAAAGAGTACAATTCCTTGGTGGGTTGACCACATTCCAGTGGAAGGCCAAAAAAATCCAGAAGTGCATGCAGTACATGCTGCATTTTTTTTTTAAAATTATACAAAGTTGGGTAGTTGAGTGTGTAGATAGGAAGGTGTGGAGAGTTTTCAAAGAACTGATACAATATGAGGAAAACAAAACAAAAAAAGTAGACTGCTATCTTGAGATAAGTATAGTTTCTCTTGATATTTTATACCATATAATCCTAAAACACACACTTGTATTAAGTAAAATATAGAATTAAAATAAAAAACAACCATGGAAAGGAAGAAAATAATGGATACTGGTCAAGAATGCAGGACTTGAGACACATATCATTCTGTGGTTTTGTGACTTGGGTTACATTCTATTGACTGACCATACTTAGGGAGGCAATAATACAGACACAGTTATCACAGGACCTTTGTTATAGTGCTTTGTTTACAATGATGAAGAGGGCATGTGTGTGACCCAGGGAACAGTGTTGGATGCTCTGTTTTAGTTTACTTAGGAATTAAATGGGACTACTAAGTATACCAATATTGCAGAGTGACTGTGAAGATTGTATTAGTTGATGCATGCCCTATGCTTAGAGAACTATTTGATAACCAGTAAAAGCCCAGAAAGCAGGTGTTTTACTAGAAAAAAATTAAGAATCCATACCCATTCTTTATTTCAAAAGTGGTAGCTGTTATCAGTGAGACTTCTCAAAGAGAGAGAAATATTAGACTTCCTTTTTTGTTAAGAAGTCACTAGAAACAGGGTAGTGAGAGAGGGAATGAGATAGATGAATTCTCTCAAACTACCTCTCAGGAGTGAACATTATTTCCATGAGTCCTCCAAAGAGCCCAATTGAGTCTTATTCTCATTTGTCTCTAGAACTAGGGGTTTCTTGCTTTCTTGTGCCCCAAGTGACGCAAAATTTGTTTCTTTGACTCCAGGGACTGTGGCTGTGGGGATAAGACTCATGAAGAAGGAGAAAGTGTTGCTCAATTCAGCCTTCATCTGTTGCACATATGGAGCCACAAAAGGTTGAAGCAGACAATGTACAGTGATTCATCAGTTAACTGGGGATTAACTAGCTGTAAGTATTGAGGACTGAAGAGGTGGCATAATGGATTTGAAAACAGATGCTGTTTTAAGATCAGAAGGTAGGATTCAATGGAGAGATGACTTACATAACTTCTTTAGAAAATCCAGCTTAACAAACCTTACAGAATCAGATCTATAAGAAACATTAAAGGTCAGTTTGACCCACATCTTTCCAATCCACACTTAAACTGAGAAATTTGCTGCTGTTTATGCTATGGAGTGGGTGATCATGCGGACAAGCTACAGGCTAGTGCAGATGGTATAAAGTAGAGTTTTCTGTAGAATCTGCAGCTGACACTTAAAGAAGTCTTACATCTCTTAGGGGTGGGTGTTTTGGAGAAAATACCT